CTGTGATTTTATGGCTTTGGGTAACTACCCCCCCCCCCCGTCTGTCCCTACCTCCATTTTGCAGCTCTATCAATCATACTTTGGCATGGTTCAGAAACAGATATACAGCTAATCTGAGGAGAGCCCTGGGCAGGGGTCATTTCGTAGAAAAAGAGCTAGGGGAACTCATTAGCATAACTCATTAGCATATGCCACACCCCCTGACATCAGGGGCCCGGCGGTGGACCTGCAAGGCCAGCGGGAGTGCGAGGAAGCCCTGCCAAGGCCCTCCCTGGCCCCAGGCAGGCGAGGGTGGGGAGAGGCAGGGAGGAAGCAACTTACCCTCCCTCTTCTCCTGCCTCCTCCTGGCTGGATGAGGGTTGGAAGCGGGGCTGCCGGAAGCAGGGGGCGGGGCTTCGTCATGTGCCCTGCCCCCTGCACCTCACCTGGGGGAACTATGTTCCCCCGCATTCCCCCCTGAAATGACCTCTGGCCCTGGGCCCCACCTGAGTAGTCGGGTTGCCAGCTCCAGACTGGGAAATACCTGGAGATTTTGGGGGTGGAGCCTGAGGAGGGTGGGGTTTGGGGAGGGAGGGACTTCCATGCCATTGAATCCACCTTCCAAAGTGGCCATTTTCTCCAGGGGAGCTGGTCTCTGTTGCCTGGAGATCTGTTGTAATAGTGGGAGATCTCCAGCCACCACCTGGAGGTTGGCACTCCTACTGAGTAGGGATGCTGGCCTCCAGGTAGGACCTGGGGATCCCTCAGAATAATCTCATCTACAGACTACAGGGATTAGTTCCCCTGGAGAAGATGGATGCTTTGGAGGGTGGACTCTGTGGCATTGTACCCCACTGAGATCTCTGTCCTCCCCAGGCTCCGCCTCCAAATCTCCAGGCGTTTCCCAACCCTACCCCCCCCCCATCCCCAGACGGTGGCTGGACCTGGCAACCCTTCTCCTGAGGTTGGCAACAAGAGGTCAACACTGAGTTTGGTCTGAGTTTTTAAACCCTAGTTTGCTGTTCAGGTTTCACAGAACTAGACCATTATCTGAAATTACCACCAGTCACAATACACTTTCAAAGGAGGTTTTTACTCAAGAGATGAAAATGTGGTATTCACTACCAGAGGATGTAGTGATGTGGCCACAAGCACAGATGGCTTTAAGAGGGGATTAGATAGGGCTACGGGGGCTCAAGTGATTAAGATGCTGAACTGCAGACCAGAACAGCAGTTCGAGACCCAAGTGCCGCATGATGGAGTGAGCTCCCGTCTCTGGCCCCAGCTCCTGCCAACCTAGCAGTTTGAAAGCAAGAAATTGCAAGTAGATAAATAGGTACCACTTCGGTGGGAAGGTAACAGCGTTCCGTGCACCTTGGTGTTTAGTCATGCCGGCCACATGACCACGGAAACGTCTTCGGACAGCGCTGGCTCTTCGGCTTTGAAACGGAGATGAGCACCGCAACCTTAGAGTCAGATTCGACTGGCTTTCGAGCAAGGGAAACCTTTACCTTTACATAAATTCCTGGGGAATACTCACTGCCCCTTAGAAACAGAAAGAGCTGGAGACGCTGTGGTTTCCGTGGTCTCTGCTTTTGCCATCCCGGCCATACACGACTCTGCATCTGTTTGATTGATGGGCAAGAAGAAGTTCCCCTCAAGAAGGTGCTTGGTTGTTTCCTTCCAAGTTATGGCAAAACCATGGGATTTTTCACGATTCCTAGAGAAGACTGACGCCACTTCTGGAGGAAACGGGTGGGGGCTGGCAACCCCACCCTCAAGGGTTCGATACTCTGGAGAAAAAGAAACAAGCATCTCCTCCAGGAGACCTTCTTGCCCATTAGGTAAGTTGGGCAATTCCCAGAGAGAGGACCATTTCCCATTTCCAGTGCCCCTGCCCCCTTGCTGGTTGCCAAGCTGGGTCTGGCTACCCTTTTTTGCCATTGCCACAGCTGATTTATGACAAGCCCTGGGAGGTTTTCAAGGCAAGAGATTCAGAGAGATGGCTTGTAGTTGCCCACCTCTGCAGAGCCACCCTGGTATTTCTTGGTGACCGTCCATCTGAATACCAGCCAGGGCCAACCTGCTTATGTTCAGGCTTACTTGGGCTATCCAGGTTAGGACCAAGGCTACCTCTAAACTGTGGAGTCTTGTGAGCAAAAATTCTACTTTGTGAGCTACTGGCATTAAAGTTGTCAGTGAGCGATTTCGCTACTGCATAAATAAATTTGCTCTGGAGCCATCCTTCCTGAGCTAAGGCAAAAATGTGTGAGTCGGAGGCTAAAAAACTGTGAGCTAGCTCTGTTGGGTGTTACAAGTCAAAACACTTCAGTATTTACAGGGTTGATGATGTTTGTTAAGTCACATGCTTGTTTGTAACCAATCTGTTTAGACAATAGGAAGCCCGGGAATTTTCTCCCTGATCTAGGGATTTGATTGGGACTAAAGTGTCAAGGTGTATTACCATTTTATGGCTTCTCTTCCCCTTCTTTGTTCTGAGGGAGAAGGAGACGCCATTAGTCTCTTCCCCTTTTTTTTTACCTTTTAGCTGTAAGGATGTAGACATATTAGCTCTTTATTTTATATCCTGTGTACCTTTTCCCCATGTTAGGTTTATAGTAAACTTTTATATTTTAAAACACACCATGGACTCAGTCTCTTAATACTCTGCTGACTTACTCAAAAAAGAATCCCAACAAGCTCACACTCACTCACCTTAGAGGGAACACACTGGTTAGGACTACTTAATAGTTGAATTCTAAACACGCGCAGGAGGCACCCCTTAGCTTGTGGCACTGAGAGCATTAGTAGAAACAGAAAGTCCTCATGGGGCGACTCTGCATTGGCTTTTCACTCTGTTGTTTCACCAAACCCACCTTGGAACAGAAATCCCCGCTTTCACTTCCTTTGATCGTCGAGTTTAAACACCGCTAACAACAGAGCCCTTCTTTTCACCCGCTCCCCAATCCCTCCCCTCCTCGCCGGAGGCGGCGGCGGTGGCAGCGGCAGCAGCAGCAACCGCCGCCTCGGCAGGACAGGGAAAGCGCTGAGTCAGGCTTCTTCTGAGAGGCTTGCAGGGCGCGGAGGGAAGAAGTGCCGCATCATCCGAGTCCTGCTGCAGTTTGCAGGTCCCGAAGTCTCTCTGCCTCCCATGCATGCAAAAGGGAACGACGACTAGGAGAGAGAGCGGGTGCGGAACAACAAGGGACCCTCCCAAGAGACTAAGGAGACAGCTAGTTTCTTTCCGGAGGAGTAGTTTTAAACAAAAGTCGAAGGGCAGCCGTCTCCCAATCAGAAGAAAACCTCTGGGGTTCTGCAGGTCAAAGTAGGGGAAAGCACTTGGCCAAAAGGGTAAGACGGCGCCTTTCTACTCTCTGCTGCAGCCCACAATGTCTGGATCTTGGGGGACCCCCGTGTTTTGAGTCAGACTAAACCAAACTGCAGATTACAGGGTTTGAGCGACTAGAAACCAGGGCTTTTAAGAAGTGTGTGTGTGTGGGGGGGAGTGTCGTAGGTTAGGATGCAACAAAGTTCTTGATTTGGGAATGGGGTGATCCGGAGATGCTTGCGGGAAACCTAAAGAAGCACGACACGAAATAATTTTATTTCTGCCAAAAAGATCTACTCCCCAACAGTAGAAAAGAGAAAGAATGCAGTGGCCCCTTAAAGACTGCTCTTGCTCCTTTCTGCTGCTACAGACACGGCTGCCCATCTTGATCGATCTGCTCCCAAAGTTAAGATGATTTGATAAAATCAGCTTGTTTTAGTTACCCACTGGGGGGGCGGGTATTGCAAGGACTGGGTCAGTCCTTTGAGCAGTTTCAATTTCTGAGGGTTTTTTTGTCTTTCTTCTTTGTCCCTGTTCACTCCTGTTCTGTGCTTGAAGCACACAATGCTTATTTAGGGTTACCAGCAATGCTCCCTCTAAGTTATGGAGTCTTGTGAGCAAAAATTCTACTTTGTGAGCTACTGGCATTAAAGTTGTGAGCGAGCGATTTGGCTACTGCATAAATTAGTTTGCTCTGGAGCCATCCTTCCTGAGCTGAGACAAAAATGTGTGAGCTGGAGGCTAGAAAACTGTGAGCTAGCTCACACTAACTCAGCTTAGAGGGAACACTGGTTACCAGATGTCCCCTTTTTAGAGGACGCGGCCTCTTTTTTGTGTGTGTGTCCATCCGTCCTCTTTTGAGCTCTTTTTAAAAAACCTGATGAAAATGCCCTCTTTTGGGGTTGGAAGGTTAGGAATATTCCTAGTTAGCACCCATTATCACAGCTTAAACAGTAGGGGCATTTCAAATGAAATTTGTCATAGTGATCGCTTGTTTGAAGTAGTCAGTTGGGAAATGTCCTCTTTTTTGCTTTTCAAAATATGGCAACCCTAGCTTGATAGATGCCTCATCCTATTGATTGCATTGAATTACCCTGTGTAATCCACCTTGAGTCTAAGAGAGAAAGGCAGACTGTTAAACAAATACATGTCTGATTGGTGGTGGGGGTGGGGGGAACAGGAGTGAATAGAAACAGGGATCTGCCACCAAATTGTTCTAGGGCCAATGGGGAGGGTAAATACAATAAAGAATCAGTGGTAAAACAGCAGACATTGTTTTAGGACAGCAAAGCATCTCTTTATCCATTCTTTAAAAAAAAAAAAAAAAAGACAAGAAGACACAGGATGATTCTCTTTCAGAGATTCCAGAAAGATATGCCCTAGCATCCGTCCCCCCTTTTGTGGATTTTTTATTTACATTCTGTGGCTGACCATTGCTATTATTTGCTTTCTAGATTCAGGGCATACTAACCCAAACCCAGCAGTTCAGCCCCACACCTGCATCCTTTTTGTGAAGGGGCACAGACGCTATTCTCTTTGTCCTCAATATTTCGAGCTCAGCCCTATTTTCTGAGGGCAAGGAGTCGATCATGAAAGGGGAGCCCATGTTATTCTCCCATCCCCTCTTCTCCTCATATTCCTGCATTGGACTTTAAGTGTATGGTGTAGTACTCCAGTAGCACCTTACAGACTAACAAAATTTGTGGTAGGGTATGAGCTTTCATGAGTCACTGCTCAATTCTTCAGTTCCTTTTCCCAGAAGGCACACCTTTCTGTGCTTGCAGCTCACAATCATGTGGGAGAATGCGCTGGGGCAACGGAGACTTATGTGAACTCTTCCTACTGCGAAATGTCTTTGATGGGCAGCTGCCAAGATGAAAATGGTGAACAACTCTCCCACCTGCTGCTTTTAGCTGGCAGGCTCCCACTTAATCCAAAATTAAAGAAAGGGGTGTCAAGTGCCCCAGGAGCTGTTGAATGTTCTTTAGCTTCTAATTCACAGGAACCCATCACAACTTCCAGCAAATATATTATTGTTGTTTTTATTATTAGGACATTCCAGTTTCAGGCCTAGTTCAAGGGAAGACAGCACGGTTCAGGAAGAAGACGCTTGTCTGAAGAAAAGAAAGAAAACTTTTTCTGAGATGTTTCCATGAGGGGGTAAAAATTTCACCTCAGCAGAGAGAACGATTCAAGGAGTCCACCAACCCAATAGAAACACTGCAGGCCATATCTGAGAGAAGCGTGGACCTCTCTTTGATCACTTGTCATGGCATCTGTGAGAGAGGTGTCCAGCTTCACTGAGGACCTGCTGTGTCCCATCTGTCTCTCCATCTTTCGGGACCCCCACATGCTTGAGTGTGGCCACAGCTTCTGTGCCCCATGCTTAGAACCCTGTATCCCCAAGGGCCAGAGACGCGGGCTCTGCCCCGAGTGCCGGCGGCCTTTTGCTTTGCGCCGCATGGCGGTCAACCGAGCCCTCTGCAGCCTGGCGGAAAAGGCCCGGCTCCTCAAGCTGGACGAAGGCCCTCAGTTGGGTGGGGCTGGCGGCTGGTACTTCTGTGAGGAACATGAAGAACCGCTTAAACTCTTCTGCAGCCAGGATGAGGGACCTGTTTGTGTCATCTGCCGGGACTTACCTCAGCATCGTGGACATGACTTTCTGCCCATCAAAAATGCCGTTCAGGCCTATCAGGCGAGTGACAAAAATACTAGGTTCTGTGGGTAGAGAACAAGGTTTGAGCAGATAAATCGGAAAATGTGGGGCCTTTTCTGAGGAGACTGGCGTAATGAGGGAAGGACTAGGATATAGAGAGGAGCTGGATCATGTCTCGGCACCACAAACTCAGTGGTAGGACCATGTAGTTCCTCTGAGGGACTATTTCTGTTATCAGAAGAAGGGGGCTGTCATTTTTCACATATTCCCCCCTCCTGCTTAGCTCTCTGTGCTATTCCTGAAAGTCTGATGAGCCCAGGAACAAAACTGAGGTGGGGTTAAGTGAAGTGCAGCAGCAGGAGGAAGAAGAAAACCCACTCAATGAAGTCTGTGGATGAGTGGATACATATCAGGGTTTCTAAGGATCTACGTGGATGGCCCAGGCTAGCCTGAGCTCATCAGATCTTGGAAGCTAAGCAGGGTTGGCCCTGGTTAAGATTTGGATGGGAGACCATCAAGGAAGTCCAGGGTTGTTATGCAGAGGTTGGTATGCAGGGCAGGCAATGGCAAACTACCTCTGTTTATCTCTTACCACAAAAATCCTATGGGGTTGCCGTAATTCCACTGCAACTTGATAGCACTTTCTACCACTCACCACAGAACGCCTTTCCCTCATGAATGACTGATGGTTCATAAACTAAATCTGGGGAGAATAAACTTGTGTAAGGAGAAGTAAGATCACACCTGCTGGCCCCACTCTAGGCAAGTTTGTTAAAACTCGTGAACAAGATTGAAAATCCACAAGTTGGCAACCTGTGAAAAATTGTGGAGGGGATTGTTTAGAAATCTCATCCTACCCTTCCAAAGAGTGGAGGAGGAGGACTGGATAGATTTTATAGCATGCTTTATGTTGCCTGGACAAAACTTGAGCAAAAAACGCACTGTAGAAGAAAAGAGAGCCAGCAGTATTGCAGGGAATGGAGTTGATATTATTTTGATGGCAGGAGTACAGTTGGCTTGACCCACTGTCCATATATCCATACAGAGTCTGTCCTATTGGGCAAACATCACATTATAGAGTCCTTATGTTTCTTGGGCAATGAGACAAGAACTTCATATCAGATGCACAGTGGGAGTGTTTCTGTTTTCACATGGAAGATCTTTAAGGGTGAACATGTGGCATTGTCCTCCACTCATTTTAGGTGACTCCAAATGTGTTTGCTTTTTCCCTTCCCCCTAGGATCAGCTGAAAGCTTCTCTAGAACCCCTGCAAGAAGGGCTCCACTGTCTAAAAAGGAGCCAGTGCCGTCAGCAGGAGAACATTCTAGAATTAAAGGTGTAGTATTGGTTAGGGTGGTTGGCAGGAGCATGGAGCCCCTGTCTAGTGGGAACTAGATCCGTCCCTTACCAATAATCTCAAAATGCACTGTGAATTCTCATTCTAGCTATTTGTTGAATATTATTCTATGTCTTACAATTGACGTTCAGCATTTGCTGTTTCATATTCAGCAGTACATAGGAGGCTGCTTCAGTTCAAGGCAGTGGGAGAATGACATTTTGAGGCCAAAGAACATGATTAGTTTATCATTTGTTTTTGATAGTTTTACTGTGGGCTTTTCGACACCCCTTTTTCTTCTGCAAGTTTTGGTTCTGAACTGCGTTGTGTTTTTTTTTCTCTTCCTTACACACAGTATCATTTGAGTTCTCCAGTTTTTCTTTGAGTTTTTCCTGTATGTGTGGTAGTCTGAAAAAAACAAAGGAAAATTTAAGGGGGAGGAAACCAATGATACTTTGAAGTGGGGGGGGGGATCCTGACACAGTTAAAAAAACCAAGCTGCAGGGAAAACCCAGTGCATTAAAGCCCTATTTGGGATAAACTGATACAGCCCAATGTAGACTATCATTTCCCTCTGGAACACATGACAGTGGCTTCCCAATGGTGAATGATCCCTGCTCGGCCTGTAACGTTTAAGTACTTTTTGCATGGCACTCACACATCGTCTGTGTCTCAGATATACTTTCCAGTAGGTGACTGGAACATGGAGCAGTAGCATTAACACTCAGGTTGTGATGACCAAACACCACATACATGTTCCCCAGAGAGCACTGGGATCAGGGTCACAAAACCGTTTGGCCCTCCCTGGTCCTAAGGGCGCCAGATTGACATCGACCAGGACCAGGGCGTTCTCTTTGGCAGCTCCGACTTATTGGAACGAACTCCCTGGCGAGATCAGGGCCCTGCGGGACCTTGGACAGTTCCGCAGGGCCGTGAAAACGGAGCTTTTCCGGCAGGCCTTCCGATAGAAGCAGCACCTTATCAGCTGTCCCCTGCGCCAACCTCTTTCCAGCCGAAGCTACCTGGAGGGGGGATGCACCGCTGAACGTGTTCTAAACGCACTTTACTACATCTGGATCGCCATTGACATGTTAAATTGTTTATTGGGTATTTTATTGTGTATTTTAAATTGTGATGCACATTGTTTTTACTGGGATTTATGTAAGCTGACCTGAGCTTTGCCTTGGCAGGGAGGGCGGGGTAAAAGTTGAAATAATAAATAAATATAGATACATGTTAGAGGCTCCACATGTTAATGGGATCCATTTCCCACGGCTTCTTCTTATGACAGGTACAATGAGCTCCGCCTTGCCAGACATGTGGATTCCATTTTCAGCTTTGGGACGGACACACTCATTGTTGGAGCAGGCCTCTGACATGTGACCAAGAGGGTGACCAAGTTGGTAGCACCTTTCCTATGAGGAAAGTCTGAAGAGGAGTTTTCGGTTTAGAAAAGAGATAACTGCAGGTGGGGTGTCATGATACAGAATCATGCATTGGACAGAGAAAGCAGACAGAGAGAACTTATCCCTTCTCTCCCAAAATACTATAGAGCTTGAGGGCATCCAAATGAATTTGATGGGCGGTAGATTCAGGACAGAGGAAAGGAAATACTGCTTTACACAATGAGTGATTAAAGCATGGAATTCTCTACCACAGAATGTAGTGGTGGCTGCCGGACAGGCATAGGCAGCTTTAAAAGATTATTAGATGCATGGAGGAGAGGGCTATCAGTGACTACTAGCCATGGTGACTAAAAGGGAACCTGCACATTCAGAGGCAGTAACCCTTTGAATAGCAGTGCCTGGAAGCAATGTCATGGCAACTATGCCCTGCTATTAGACTTCCAGAGGAACTGGTTGGCCAGTGTTTGAGACAGATCAACTACTGGTTGGATCCAGCTGGGCTCTTTTTATGTTCTTGTTTGACACCCATTCCCTTTCAGACCTGCTCTGAGTCCTTGTCTGATCACGTCTCTGGGGAGTTCGTGAAGATGCACCAGTTACTGACTGACAGAGAGTATAGTCTGAAGGTGGCCCTGGAGCATCAACGAGAGAAGAACCTGGTCCAGATGGAAACCAAGCTGAAGGAACTGACTTGGAAAGTGGCCTCTTGGTCGGAGACGCTCTGCCGAGTACGAGCAGGGCTTGAATGCAAGGATCACATCAGTTTCCTCAAGGTGAGAAGGACCCACCCATATCCAGAGTCTGCTTGGGAAGAGGGGGAAAGATTGATCAAAAACATTTTCACCTGTAATCTTCTCACGTCTTGTCTGTGCCTTGTGTGAATATTATTAATATGGGATATAATACCCTTCTGTATGGGAAAATAACAAGGTACAGGAAAACTTAACTAGAAAACTTACTTTAGACTCCTTTGCATAATTACTTTACTTTAATGATACTGCTCTTATAGCCAATTTGGCTCTGAACAGTGCCACACTCTACAACTTTAAAAGGGGGGGGGGATTTATTTAATATGTGCATCTATATAACATAAAGTTCAATCATTTTTAATATTAAGTGACTGAGAGAAGAACCTGGCAACTGCCAATGTGATATTAAAATCCACCCCTGCTAAAAGAAACCTCAGATTATCCAATTCACACCTAGAGTCCTGGATATAAGGTTTTATCCAACTCTCTCTTGCTTTATTAAGCAAATCTCAGTGGAGTAGACAATGTTGAAGGGTGTTTATTTGGCCAGAACTGCACAGTCACTCAGAGTAAGGCACCTTATTTAAGGATCCCGATAGCTCTCCTGACCACCTTTGCATAATTTGTACTGAAATGACCACAGAGCTTCTGTTACGGGTGAATTAAAAGGCAGCCATTTTGCATTCTTCTCTCACCCCCATCCTTTTCTGTTTCTTCTTGTCCAGGAGGCAAAGGAGTTACTGGAGAGGTGAGTCGTGCCTGCCTTTTGTAGGATACCAAGCAGTCTCAGACAGGTGAAGCCTTTATAAATAGTCTGAGGGAGATGGAACTTCTAGCTGCTTCTGCTTGTGTGGCCTTTTTGGCCTGCTCTTTAAACAGCAGGTGAAACATTTCTCCCCCTGAAGGGAAACTGTATGTTTTTTAAGTCCTTAAGCTGCACTGTAAAGGCTCAGCTAATGAGCTTGTTGAAAAGTTTGGCAGCCCTGTCCCAGGGACAGAGGCAAAGCAAAGTTTTGTGGATCTCACTGTGTAAAAAGTTCAGCAAAGAAACCTTTTTCGTCCATGGCTTATGATTTTGGCTCCAAAAAGGTCACCTCCCCTTCCCCTGGAAGCCAGTGGAAGCTGTGTTGTGTGTCTTCATAACATTGCCCTAAAAATTGAAGGCCCACAAGCACTACTTAAACCCAGTTTGTGAAGACAATCTGCCTAAAATGGCTGACACTCTGGGAGCTCTCCTTCCACAGGGTCCGCAAGGAGCAAGGAACCCCGGTGGACGAGGAAGAAGAAACTGAAGTGGCGATGGCAGAAGAAGGATTGGAGGCTAGCGGTGAAGATACAGATGAATGTGAGAATGAGGCAGAAGAGGGAGACAATGTAGATGAAGAAGAGGAGGAAGAAGAAGAGGAAGAGGAGGAAAGTGAGGAGGAAGAAGAGCAAGAGAAGGCTGTAGAGACAGAAGAGGATGATGAATTTGGAGTTGTGCCTGTAGACTTGAACCTTGGTGAATTCAAGGGACCCCTGCAGTTCTATGCCTGGAAGGAGCTCTTAGGTGCAGTATATCCAGGTGAGGAGACTCCTGGGGCATTCTGGGAATAGGGGTTGCTTGCATGGCAGTTGTACCACTGTTTGAAAATCCAGCATAGGTAGCTCAATAGTCCTCCCTTTTATTACTTAGAAGTTCTGACTTGGACTATTGGTCTAAAAAAACCATATTCTGGTACTTCCTTCTGGAGTATATCAGTCTGAGCCTGGAAACTGGCAGAAATGCGTACATTCCACAGTTTTTAATAGAGAATAGGCTGGATCCCACAATCTGCAGGTGCAAGGATCGCAGATCTTTTCTGTGTTCCCCTTCCTCTATTAGTCCTTTCCAATCATGGGAAATGTGGGGAAGATCTGCAGCCATCAGTGCCTTCCACTAATGGACAATGGGATCCACCCCAATGTGATCTTGCATTTGGGTTATTCAAAGAATCTCATTGTCATGAATCTTAAAGTAATACTTTTTTCATTACCACCCGAAACAAAAGATGCTTTTTTCCTACTGTTAAGTCGTGCGCTTAACAAAGAAGTCGGAGAGTGATTCAGCAAGAATGCGGTTTATTCTTCAGCTCTGTTACTTTCTCCGTACTCGGTACAACGATCGCCAGCCAGAACCATCATTCGAACCAAAGACATACACTGGCTGCTCTATATTTAAACACTCCCGGCTAATGTAGCCACACCCACTGTACAATAAGGCAACCTATGAGGTTGAAGTAATAACGACCAATCACAAGCGATCCCGCTCTGCACGGTGATTGGCAGACACTTTCTGGGCTAGGGCTCCTATTGGTTACATTAGGATCCTAGCCCAGGATGAAGCTCAACATGGCATCTCAATCAGACGATTCACACATCAGTATTTACATCCAAGACTCAATGGCACAGTTACATAGCAGTTATATACAATGCAATACATAACAAATCCCTCCCCCCTAAGCAAAAACATTAGGAACAATCGTAATCGCTTAAGTAGGTGGGCACTCTGCGCACTCTCTGTGACCTGCGTGGCTGTACAGGCTCAGCAGATGTCCCAGCTTGGGGAACCGCATCACGCTCGGGGACTCCCGAGTCAGGAGCACTTCCACTACTAGCAATGGGTCGTTGAGTAGGGGTCTGCCCTGACTCGCCGACAGTACCGGGGCCCTCGGGCACATCGGTACTCACCTCAGGGACCCAATCCCCGGATGTTAGCTTGGCAAGCGCATCCTTGGTCGTGCGGACCATTCGCTCTGCCTGCCCGTTCGATGCTGGGTGGAACGGGGCAGACGTAATTTGCCTGATGCCATTGTTAGCCAGGAATTGAGCAAACTCTTGCGACACGAACTGAGCGCCGTTATCGCTTACCAGGACATCAGGCAACCCATGCGTGGCAATTAAGCGGCGCAACACATTTATAACAGCAGTGGAAGTGGTGGTAGACATTGGCGCCACTTCCAACCATTTCGAAAAAGAGTCCACCACAATCAAAAACATTTGACCCTGTACTGGGCCCGCCAAATCTATGTGCAGCCTCGACCAAGGCTTTCCCGCCGATTCCCATTTCTGTGGGAAGGCGGTTGGCGGTTCGGGTCTCGCCTGCTGGCATGGCGTACACCCCCGTACCCACTCTTCAATGTCAGCATCCATCCCAGGCCACCATACATATCCCCGGGCCAGAGCCTTCATATGCACCATGCCGGGATGGCCCTCGTGTAGTGATTTCAGCACTTTTTCGCGCCAGCGTTGCGGTACAATCACTCTGTTCCCCCACAGCAAACAGCCCTTTGATACCGACATTTCGCTTTCCCGCGTTTTGTACGGTTTGAACTCCGGCTCCAACGTTCCTGCCGGCCACCCCCTCCACACCCAGTTAATAACACGACTGAGCACAGAGTCTTTTGCTGTCGCAGCAGCAATGTCCTTAGCAGACACAGGTGCCTCCGGCAGTTCCTCGATAGCTAGAATGGAGCAAGTAGGAGCAGGGTCCAAGTCCTGGCCGGGCAGAGGGCAGCGGCTGAGCGCATCAGCGTGTCCAATGGCCTTACCCGGCCTGTGCTCCAGGTCGAACTCGTAGGCTGAGAGGAACAAAGCCCACCGCAACATGCGTGCGGACATAACATCAGGGAGTTGCCGGTCCTGGGCAAAAATCCCTAGCAGGGGCTTGTGGTCTGTCACCAGTATGAATCTCCGTCCAAACAAAAAGTCATGAAACTTCTTAACAGCGGAAACTAGCGCCAAAGCCTCTTTGTCAATCTGCGCGTAGTTTCTTTCCGCTGCTGTTAGCGACTTGGAATAAAAGGCGATAGGGGCTTCCCGCCCGTCGGGCATTACGTGGCTCAGCACAGCTCCCACCCCAAATGGGGACGCATCAGCAGCTAACACAAGCAGTTTGTCCTCATCATAATGTGTTAACACTGCATCAGACGACAACAATTTTTTCACCCCATCGAATGCCCGCTCATGCTCTGGACCCCACCTCCATTTTGTGTCTTTATGCAGCAGGTTGTGCAATGGGGCCGCAATCGACGCCTTGTGGGGCAAGAAGGCGTGATAAAAATTAAGGAGTCCTAGGAAGGACTGTAACTCCTTCTTCCCTTGTGGCCGTGGGGCATTCTGGATTGCGGAGACCTTATCGTTAGTAGGATGGACCCCAAACTCATCCACCCGGAACCCCAAGAACTCCACACTCGGGACTCCCACCAGGCACTTCGACTTTTTTACCTTCAGGCCCGCATCAGAAAAACGTTTGAGCACCTCCCGCACTCGGCACAGCAGCTCGTCATCAGATTTGCCCGCTATTAAGACATCGTCAAAATAGGGCACCGTGCCCGGCACCCCCCTCAACAACCCCTCCATGAGGCTCTGAAAAATCCCCGGCGCAACATTCACTCCGAATTGGAGTCGATTTACTCTAAACGCCCCCCTATGCGTTACGATGGTCTGGGCGTCAGCCGCCTCTTTGGTCACGGGGAGTTGTTGGTACGCTTGGGCCAGGTCGAGTTTGGCGAATACCTTCCCTCCTCCCAGTGATGCCAGTACGTGGCTAATGACTGGTACAGGGTACGAATGCTGCTGCAAGGCTTTGTTAATCGTGCACTTGTAGTCAGCGCAAATTCGTATTGACCCATCGGGTTTAATTGGAGTAACAATGGGGGTTTCCCATTTACTACAAGGAACTGGTTCCAACACCCCTTGTTCAAGTAGCTTATCGAGTTCAGCCTCGATCTTTGCCTTGAACGGAATGGGCACTTTCCTGTATTTTAGGCGTATAGGGCGTATAGCAGGATCCAACTCAAAAGACACTGGGGGACCATTATACTTTCCCAATCCGCCCCCAAACACTTCAGGAAATTCAGCATATAATACAGCCCATTTATTTTCCACAACGTTATTAACTCCCACAACAGCAATACCCAGAGGCTCAAACCAGTCCAACCCGAGCAGGTTGGTACGGTTTCCCTCAGCGATCAAACATGAAAGCACAGCACCTTTCCCTTTGAAATTAACTGTGAACGTATCCCTCCCCGCCAGAGGGATTCGATTTCCCTGAAAATCGGACAATCGGATGTCCGCAGCTCGCAACCTCCGCCGACTTCGTGTTGGGAACAGCTTGTGCCACGTCTGCGTAGACAAAACGGTTACCGCCGACCCGGAATCCACTTCCATCTCACACGGTGCGCCGTCGAGATGGAGAATGACGTGGATCTTTTTTCGGCTCTCGGTGCTTAGGACGGTGGCTGTGGCTTCTGACGACAGGCTCCCTGTCATCTGGCGGGTGTCTTCTTTCGGTGCGGCTCGGGGACGTTGGTGCCGGCGGGGAGATGAAGCTGGTGAAGACTTGTTTGCGGCTCTGCATACCCGGGCAACATGCCCCCGCTTTCCGCACTTCCGGCAGTCGAGGTCTCTCGCCCAGCAACGCTCGCGCCGATGTTTCCCGCCGCAACCGTCGCATGCTGTACACTCGGCAGGTTTCCGTTGGGTCCGCTTGGACGTTCCCGCCTTCACTTTGCAGACGTCATCATCGGAGTCGCTGCTTGCGTCGTTAGCCCTCTGCTGGTGGACGCGTTGATCAGCTGTGGCGACCCGTTGTCTCACTTCCCTGGTTGACCTGTCAGCAGCTTCCGCGGCGACAGCCTCGGCATAGGCGATGGCCCACGTTAGTGTAGTTCTTGCGAACAAGCGTTGCTGCAGTCGCTCGTCTCTCAGACCACAAACGAGGCGATCTCGGAGGGCCTCCTCCACATTCGCGAAGTTGCAAGGCCGTGCTGCCTTGCGAAGAGCTGCAACGTACTCAGCTATGGACTCATTTGCGTTCTGGCCCCGCTTGTAAAAAGCGTGCCTGCAGGCGATTTCCGACGGCTGTGGAGAGAAATGTGATTTCAGCTTGTCTGTCAAGCTTTCAAAGGATACGGTTTTGAGGTCATCTGGTGCCACCAGTGACCGGGCGATGTCAAAAACGCTCTTTCCACACGAGCTGAGTAGAGTCGCCCTCTTCTTCTCCTCCGTCGTGATGTCATTCGCCTCCAGATGGAACTCAAACCTTGTGAGGTAAGAGTCCCAGTCTTCAGTAGTCGGGTCGAAGCATTCGAACTTCTGGCTGCTCGCGGCCATCGTTATGCGCACAGGCGGGGCCACCAGAGCGGGTGGAGCCTGTGGCTGGCCGGCCTCGGCGATTTCCTCGTTGTCCGACATGGGGTCTGCTCTAGCGGGGCTGCCTACCCGCACTAGAATCCCATCCTCGTCGCCAATTGTTAAGTCGTGCGCTTAACAAAGAAGTCGGAGAGTGATTCAGCAAGAATGCGGTTTATTCTTCAGCTCTGTTACTTTCTCCGTACTCGGTACAACGATCGCCAGCCAGAACCATCATTCGAACCAAAGACATACACTGGCTGCTCTATATTTAAACACTCCCGGCTAATGTAGCCACACCCACTGTACAATAAGGCAACCTATGAGGTTGAAGTAATAACGACCAATCACAAGCGATCCCGCTCTGCACGGTGATTGGCAGACACTTTCTGGGCTAGGGCTCCTATTGGTTACATTAGGATCCTAGCCCAGGATGAAGCTCAACATGGCATCTCAATCAGACGATTCACACATCAGTATTTACATCCAAGACTCAATGGCACAGTTACATAGCAGTTATATACAATGCAATACATAACACCTACTATAAATCTGATAGCTCATCAATGAATGGGTTGGTATAAACAATATGAAAAAAATAGCCTTGACTAAATAGAAAGCAAAAAGGGTTCAGAATGATAGATTTGCTGAAGAACGGGTTTTATTGTCAGTTGAAATAAATATTGAACCTTACTGCATATTATGAAAAAACCCTGGTTTTGTTTCTGTGCTTGATTAATTTTCATGTATTTATTTAACAAGAAAAAGATATTATTAAAATGGTCCACTAGGAACATTTGATGCATTCAGCCAAGTCCCACGATCTCCAACAGTATTTTTGGCGCTCAAAAAGGACCTCCTCTTTCCTTTTTCAGCAGTTGAAAAGCTGGTTGGATTCAATCCCTTTTTCTCTCCTTTGTTTTCTTGCCCCCCAGTCCCTGCATGCATCACCTTGGACTGCAACTCTGCTCACCCCAGCCTGATCCTCGTGGAGGAAGCCACCGGCATCAAGTTCAGCCCAGGAAGGCGTTTCTGGCGCCGAAAGCCCGAACGCTTCATCTCTAGCCCTTGTGTGGTGGGGCGGAAAGGCTTCACCACGGGGCGCTTCTATTGGGAGATCCGAGTGGGTGAGAGCGCGGGCTGGGTGGTGGGGGCAGCGAAGAAGTCCGTGAAACGCAAGAAGCGCCTGAATTTCAAGCCCAAGGAAGGGGTGTGGGCCATTGAGCTGAGAGCCGGGGAGTACCAAGCTCTGAGTGAGCCCCGGACTCCGCTCTCTGTCTGCGGGAGGATGGAAAAGGTAGGGGTCTACCTGGACTTTGAAGGGGGGCAGCTCTCTTTCTACAACAGCAGCAGCATGAGCCACCTCTACACCTTCCAGGAGACTTTCCACGAGGAACTGCTTCCCTTTCTGAGCACCCAAAGCAGCCACCCCCTCTCAGTGTGGGACCTGGAGCTCTGAGTCCCCCATCTTAGGTTGCATATCTTTTTTTAAAAAGACCAGCATGGATATAGTTAGACACAGGAAACTGTCTGGATATTTTTTTCTTAAAGTAGGGGGCCCCTCATTTTAGTGCTTTTTGCAATATTAACTGACAATAGCTTTGCCACAGATTTGAAGTTGATATGAGAAATGCTATCTTTATCGTTGGGGGGCTCCATATGGCACAGCGGTTAGAATGTGGGACTAAGAATGGGGTGCCCCAGGTTGAAATCACCTCTTCTCCTGTGAAATTCACAGGGTCATCTAACCTACTTTGTAAGCAATGTTCCCTCTAAGCTCCACAGCGTTGTGAGCAAAAATTCTACCTCATGAGTGAAAAAAGCTAGTAGCCTTAAAGTTGTGAGCGAGTCTACATTTGACTATCGTGTAAATTGGTTTTCTCGATTATTTCCATAACCTTGTAAAAATCTCCAAATGAATTCTTTTAAACTATATTTTAGGAATAATTTAAACATTATAAGAGAAAACAGAATCAAGTCAAATTTCATTACAGAAAATGGGGTCTTCTTTGGGGTAGACCAGGCCTCCAGAGAATAGGTCTACTCTCCCTTTTCCACTATATTGGTAGACCTGGCCTCAGACTGTTGCCCCGTGCTGAGCCGTCGAAAACATACCAGCACTGGGGGGCGGACTACTTTGGGTTTTTTTAGTGAAATATGACAAATTACAGGTCAAGTATAATGTATAACAGAGGTTGAACAATCACTGTTAGAACCCTGCCTAACCAAACAAACAGGAAGTTGCTTAAATGTTATCAACCTGCCCAAATGACTTTTTTATTCAAATATTTATACCTCACTTTTCTTGTGACTCAAGGCAGCTTACAAATCATTCTGAAAAGCATAACGAGTGTACAAAAAAACCTCTCCTTCCCCCCCTGCTCCATTATAGCCTATGGGGACCATTATAATCAATGGGCCCCATAGGCTATAATGGAGAATCGATCTGGGGTTATCTGGGTCTGGGTGGGGCTGTTTTTTAAGGTAGAGACACCAAATTTGCAGCATAGCTGCTGGTGCCTCTCCCCACTCCCCCCCCCCAAGTTTCAAAAAGATTTGACCAGGGGGTCCAATTCTATGAGCCCCAAGAGGTTAGGGCCCCTTAGTGTGAGCAGAAGCTTAAAATCCCTGAGCTGGAGCTAAAATTTTGTGCACCAGCACCCCCTAGTGCAGCTTAGAGGGAACTGTGCTTGTAGGGTTGTTGTGAGGATAAAAGGTTTTATTTTATCCCGCCCTTTGCCATCGCATTACAATAGGTCTAGATTTTCTCACCTCTGTAGCCCTTTATTATGGCAGCAGAATTCCCCTCTTCTGCATGACCCTTAAAGGTCCAGGAGACCAGTCATCTTCTGTGTCAGTCACTTCATTGCCTCGCATACTGGCAAAGCAGAAATAAGTACTGTATCTGAGCTTTTTTTAGTGCATGAGTCAGGTCCAGTTCCTCCTTGGGGGGAAAAAACCTGTCCTCACAAGCCATCAATACAACTTTCATTCTAATGTCCCAGGGTATGGCTTGGAGGCACAAGATCCTGCAACCTGGTATTAATAACCTTTTCATCTGGTCAGTGCCCGAATGGGAGACCACCTGGGAACCCTTAAAGAGGAGTGGAGTCACAAGGAGTGATTTTGCGTCTGTCACAGATCTGTGATCAAAGAAGGATTTCAGTGTTCTCGGACTAAAAAAAACAAAAACAGGCTGCAAAATTCTGGTTGGCACTTGCTGTCTATGTGAGCTTTCCGCATTTTCTCTGCTGTTAACAGTTTGTGCCAATTAATATCTCATTAGCATTGCATGCCTGCCCCCACTCTCCCTGCCCGAATTCTGTGTCAGAAGAAATACTACGCCCATTGTGCAAATGAAGATTCAATTGTGTGTCCTTCCCACCAGTGAACAGTTTAAACACCAAAAGGGACTTTGAACCTGGCAGCTACGGCTGCATTCCTGATTTGTTCATTTGTCCAGCCATATGTAACCTTCGAGCGCCCTCTCATAGTGGCAATAAATAATAGCCAATCTGGAGATTTGCAGCATTGTTGGTCACATTAATTTGCTGTTTGAGGTTGATGCCATATGGTCCCTTGGGGTCCTTGGATCCACTTTCAGCTGTTTTAAAGCCACCCACGGTTTCCTAAAATCAATAGGCTTGCTCCCAATTCTCAACCTTGTGTAAATCAATGGAAGTGCATGAACTGGTGCTTTCAGAACTGGTGTGAGAGAGCAATTCGCACTGCCTGCAGTTGGCACCAGTGAAAAAACAAGTCCCTTCTCATCTCAAAGTCAGTACCAGCATACCCTGAGGTGTGGCAGCTACTAGGGACCAGGGCTTCGGGCAGGGCCCACTGGTGCTGACCTCCCCCCACACAACACTCTCTCTCACACACACACACACACACACTCCCAACTCTACACACTGCCTGGAAAGGGCTACAAGCAGTGCGGGTGGCTCTGAGCATGGGTGGTGGGAGGCCTCATGACTCCATAAAGGCAGGTGGGAGGGCATGGGTGGGGGGCCTGGTGATGGGCACAGGAGGGGAACGGGGCCATGGGAACTCTCTGCCCAGGGCCCTTGAAAACCTGGAAGTGGACCTGCCTCATCCATACTTTGATGTAAACTCTATGAATTTTTGCTCATGTTCAGAAGCTACTCAGACCCCAAATGATCTGTTATGCAGGAAACAATTGCCTGCATTGTTTCCTCCCCTCAGAGAATCAACAGCAGCGTTGAGGTGTGAATGTATCACAATGTTCTAATATCAGAACCCTGTGGGCCCCTCAGGTGGGGTGCAAACTCCAATGTCTTTCAGGTTACCCCCTGAGTCTGGACCTCAATTTATGTTGGGGACTCAATGTTAGTCAGGTAGCGTGCTCACATATCCCGAGTCCCCTTTGTTTCCAAGGCTAACGGGCTCAGCTTAGGAGAAGCGAGGAGGGCACATAAACAGTCCCTACTGCCCAGAGATTCATTCAGACTCCCAGCTCATAAAAATACAAAGGTTTATTTGGAGTGAGTAAAACAAATAGGGGGAGTTATAAGATAAAATAGACAATAGACAAAACTAACCCTAACTATCCTAGCTACTATAAACATACGGTTTGTTGTTCCTTTCTCCCTGGAAATCCACCTCCTTCTAGTTTGGCCATTTGCTTCAGAGTCCGCTCACAACTTGAGCCACGCCTCCCAGGGTTTGTTGCTACTAGCCTGTTCCAACAGTCCTGGAGACTTCCTCTGGTCCCTCAGCACTGCCAAGGTTCGCTTGCTTGCAGACACTTGCTGTCTTCTAAGCAGCCCCTGCACCCGGACTATACCTCACGGAAGATTCTCGCCGCGGCCCCTGGCTTCTTCAAGGCCACGTGCAGCATTCCTGGCATTCGTCAAGTTGTCGAGAGCTTTCGGTCTCCTTGCTCCCTCGGAACGCGTAGATGTGTACATATTCAGGCAAGTTCAAGAGTTCTCTCTTCCTGCCTCTAGGACTGGATTTTTATTCTTTGTTTCCCCAATCCCCGTCCTAGGCTGATTAGGGATTGCTGCCTTGACCCAGCTGTTTCCCATTTACTTACATTACAGAACGTACTGATTCTGACTAAACTTACAGGCCTTTTATCTGGAATGAATCTGTAAGTCAGTATCTCTGGCCTGACAATGCCAAGAGACAACCCAGTCTCCCATCTAAGGAGTAGTTCGGCCTAATCAGTGACAGCATCTAGCTGCAAACTGAAAGCCCTGCTGGCATTACCGGACCAAAGGCTGGAGCCCATGACAAGAAACCCCCCCCCCACAAGCCATCCACCCACACTTCCAACAGAAATGAGGACACTCTTCAACTTAACAAACATTTATTAAATATAGATATAGAAGGCTTTGGAAGTTAAAAGCAAAATCCAAGATTCCAGGAGGTCCTGGCTATTTAGAAATCCGCACAGAGAAATTTTAAAGTGAAAAGGGTTATTTACAAGCCACGCGTGCAGAGCGAGTGGATTTTAGGGTCACGTTTGGACTGGTCCCACAGTGAACTGGCAGCTAGGAGGGAGGGATGACATGTTGAATGTTTTCATCAGCGCCCTGCTCCGCCTGGGAAACGGTAAGTTGGTTGCGTGCTTTGATCAGCCAATCCCACAGCAGCCCCAGCCCACTCAGGAAGGCGATGCCGGGGACCAGCAGGAGAATCCGATAAAGAAACCATGGACCTGAATTGGAGAGGGGAGACAACACCAACAACAACAAAAGTGGGGTTAAATGTCATAACTCATGTGACTTTTATAAGCTATCTATACCTGAATATGCTAGATTCAAGTCTAGTACAACCTTAGAGATCTACAAAATTTCTGGGGTATAAGCTTTCAAGAGTCAAAACTCCCTTGGTCAGATACCAGACAGTATCTTCTTCAGATGGTAACTGATGGAGATTTGACTCTCAAAAGCGTGTGTGTGTGTGTGTGTGTGTGTGTGTGTGTGTGTGTGTGTGTGTGTGAAATGCAGTCAATTCAATTCCAACTTTTGGTGACCCTTCAAAATGTCCTATCATTGCCAGGTCTTGCAGACTGAGGGGCCCTCGTGGCTCCCTTGACTGAGTCAATCCATCTCATGTTTGGTCTTCCTCTTTCCCTGCCGCTTTCAGCTTTTCCTAGCATTATTGTCTTTTCTAGTGACTCTTGTCTTCTCATAATGTGACCAAAGTAGGATAGCCTCAGTTTAGTCTAGCATCTAAGGAGCCGTAATACAGTTGCGACTTGACAGCACTTTCCACCACTTATCTATTCACTGACCTCTGCTCTTCCAGTACTAAAACCATATTACCCCGCTGTCCTAACCACACCAAAGGATTCTTACCCACTGCTGTCAGCGAGACCTGAGCCTCGCAAGTCCTGTTTGCACCTGAGAGGACTTGGTACTCTCCTTCCAGCTCCTTGTTCATGTCTATGATGACGAGGCCAGTGTGGTCGAGGATGAGCCGATCCTT